TAAAATCCCTTTGTGTTTAGGTTAAGGATACTCTGAATTTTAGGGCCTTTTTGAAACAAGCCAGTTTCAGAGCAAAGTCTGTTTGCCTTTGTGCCAGGTGCTATGAAAGAGTTCAAAGAACAAAAGATGTTCACAACATCTTCTATGTCCACCTGTGTGCTACAGTTCCATATTTCTACTTAGATTGGCTCCTATGACAGAGTTGTGGTCAATGGCATGGAGGGAGTAGTGCCTTGGGGAGGATGGCCTTCTCTGAATGAAAACAGAAATGACCCAAGTCAAATTCCCTAAGTCCTATCAGATTTAGACTGTCTCCTCTGCTGCAAGGAACAGAGATTGATGCCTGGTGGTGGGGCAGGTATCTTGGGGCCCGAGTGAGCAAGCATAATCACAATGCCTGGGGGTGGACAGTACCAGAGAGAAGAAATGAAGAAATCAGAGTATACCCTACAGTGTCTAACCTATTTTATAAGACCTGAGTGTCTACCAACTCACTATGTACATAACTGAAAATATACATCTTTTTTTCTATATGTACACATCAGCCTTTCCAGTATATAGCTGACCACAAAATAAAGGGTACTGAAAAGTGAATTATTATCCTTCAATTGAGCCAATGTTAAGTATGAGTGTAATATGCTACCCAACTTAATTTTACCGGTTTCTACAACTGATGAAAATCCTCTTTCCTCTCAGATCAGGAGTATAGGGACTGCATGGGCTGTGAAACAACATAGGGACAGTTGCCCAAAACTTGGATAGGCTGTTTGAAGCATAGATGGTCACCGCACATGATTTGCAACTAATCAGTGCCTTGCACACAGCTCAAAGCACAGAACTAGACTCATCAAGGGGCTGAGTGGAAGTGAGGGGGGGGTCCCTCCCTGACAACCTCAGGTCAGCATCCTTGGAAAGTCACCCATCTATACTGGATCAGACCTACATTGGGGTTATATACCTGGGATACCAGTGCTTTGTGGAACCACCACACACACCTGGCTGGTTCTCACCAGTAGTGTCCAACAGCTTTCTTCATCTTCAAGAGCTACTCTGTCATGTGACATCTTAAAAGTTATGCATGCTATGCATTCATTCAATGTTTAAATCATCCAATACTCCCTTCTCCAACCACTCCACGCGTCTAGGCCTGGAAAAGTGTAGTTCTGTCATCCAACAGCACTGGTCCTCAGGACCACCAAGGAATTCATTAAATCTTGAGAAAAGGATCAGACCTCCCTGAATTCCAGAAAACCACCTCGTCTCCCCAAGTCCCCATCTCTGTCACGTTTGCTCATCACAAGTAGCTTCTTAAGACTCTGCAGTAACCAAAGGGAGCTCCATACCAGAACATTCCCCACATTTCAAGAGTTCTCCATATTTGCTTTTAGTAGGATTTATCTTCCCCTCGAACTGTGTCATCATGTTTTACTGTCCTCATAACTCTCAGTGCCAAGTGCCAAAATTAAGCCTGTGGCAAACTGATGGTGTTTTCCTGTTCTTCAAGTGGGGACAACGTAGTATTTAAATCTCAGATAGGGCCTCCAATGTTCCTGGACCAACCATTTACCTTTGATTAGAAAATTCAAAGTTACTCCTAAGTACAATGGCCTGGGTGCCTTAGGTGGTGGGAGAAAGCAGTGACAACGGGGTCTCCATGACACAGGAAAGGTCAGCTGTGATGCCTACATCATTGGAATGGAGATGAGGAGAGAGAAGAACTGGAGAGGATTTGGAAAAAAATAAAATAAAATAAAACAAAACTTATCTTCCTAGATTCAGTCAGTAGCGCAGTCTTGGACAGGGGTCCCCTCCCCACATGAAAAATTCATGCCCATGCTTCAGTCTAGATGTGTTCACCTCTTACGTTGGGCTGCTTCGTCATTCTGAATAGAAGACTGTTTTCTTCCTAAGCTAGAACGTCTACTCAGCACCCAGCCCTGTACCATGCTTAGTCCCTTCAAATAAACGTAAAACAACCTATGACTCATGAAGTCTCCACGTTTTCACCTAATTCAAACTTAGAGTCAAGTGAGCAACTTGGATGTCCCTTCCAAGATGGGAAAATAACATAACTAAAGAAATCTTACTGAGTGTCCTCCAATCGAGAAGGAGTGAATACTATCAATTGAACTACATGGAATTTAATATGCCCACTGTAGAATTACTCCCATATTCACATCAATTTTTGAACACGTCATTTCATGCAAACTGTTCTTAAAATCACTGAACAAGGCATATAAGCAATAGGTCCTGAACATTGGAACAAGGGAAACACCAGATCCTACATGAGTAATAGGCAGGTAGACAGGACAGAATTTGCATGGGGAGATCCTCACACCAAGATACAGGGTATATGTAGGAGAAATAAATTCTATACACTGTAGAGAAAACTATTCCCACTAAATAATCTGTAACATTTCCCTTTGCTAGGAAATCATCAATTTGAAATTTGCAAATTCTCTCTTGATCCCATATTCCCTTTCCTTCTTAAGATATAGGTACACACACACACACACAAATACATATGCACACTCATACTCCTTCCTAGTTATTTCTGTTACTCCAAAATCTATCTTTAGCTTAATGTAACATATTCCTTCCTGTGCATATCTAAACCATAAAACTGTGTTCTGTACGCTAAAAAAAGAAAAGAAAAGAAAGAAACGCAAAAACCAAAACAAAAAAAACAGGAGGAAAGAAAAATCTCGGGTAAATTTTATAGTGATTAGGAATTCTGTAGATATGGCTTCTAGTTATATTTGTAGTGACTTTGGTCAATTAGCAGTAGTTGGGCAGAACACCTGGGTATTAGATGGTGAGCCATGATTCAACAAAAGGAAACAAAGAAATTGAAATTAAGTTTACTACTCATAGATCCTGGAGGATGTACCCAATACGCCTTGAGGGACAACATGAAGAGGTCAAACTGAGTGCAGGCAGAGGGCGTGGCAGGAACTGGGGCAGATGTCGTTCTTAGGGTTCCTGGTAGGAGTGGTTTCACTTTCTGGGCCAAGTCTAGAATGCACAATTCAAACCAAAATGAGTGGAGTATGGTAAACTGTGTGGGGTCTTCTTTAAGGGATGCTCATGATAAATATACTGGGACTGGACACTTCCACGGAGGCTACTGGGTAAGTCAGATCAGGAAATTACCTTTGCTTGTGACTATAGGGACTGTTATCTAGTGTATTTGCTACTGGGTGGAGCTAGTTATTTCAAATCCCCTGCAGGCAGTCTGGTTATAGAAACTGGATTCCAAGTCAGCAGTATCACCCATTTGTTACCTACAGCATCCATACTACTTACTACTCTATCATCATTATTAAAAGCACCCTAATGTCCCAGCAGTTTCAAAAAGAAAAGATATAATACAGAATCTTGGGGGAAAATTAATCACAAATAATTCGAGGTTTAGGGCCACTGGGAAGAAAAATTATTAGTGATATCATCCCACTTTTTTTTTTTTAAAGATTTTATTTATTTATTTGACAGAGAGAGAGACAGCGAGAGAGGGAACACAAACAGGGGGAGTGGGAGAGGGAAAAGCAGGCTTCCCGCGGAGCAGGGAGCCCGATGCGGGGCTCGATCCCAGGACCCTGGGACCATGACCTGAGCCGAAGGCAGACGCTTAACGACTGAGCCACCCAGGCGCCCCTCATCCCACTGCTTTAACAAGTACAAGTGACTCTTGAATAATGCAGGGGTTCGGTGTACCCACCACCCATGCAGTTGAAAACCCATGTGGAACTTCCACTCTCTAATGGTTAATTTTAATAGACTATTGAAAAGAAACCTTTCCTAAAGCAGTCACTTAACATATATTTTATGTTACCTATGTGATATATGGTATTCCTACAGTAAAGGAAGCTCCAGAAAAGGAAATGTTAAGGAAGTCAAGAGGAAGATAAATACATTTACAGCACTGTACTATAAATAAATCTGACTATAAGGGAACCCACACAGTTCAAACATGTTGCTCAAGGGTCAAGTGTACTTTGTGTTACTGTCTGTTTACCTGCAATCTTGATGAAATTGGGGCTGGCTAAGGCTGGTACAGGATCACTGCTTATTACACATCAGTGTTAACACATTAAAATCCATTTAGTGTTATTAATTCAAATATATAAAGTTGAAACACTCTAGACAAACCACTGCAAAATCACTGTATGATCATTGGTCAAAATACCCATGACAGTCACTCAAGGAAGGACCATTCTTGTTCTTCTGATACAATGATCTGTGAGTTGTAGTTTCCATGCTTTTCAAACTGAGGGTCTGCTTTGAGTAAATGTGGATTTACAATGATTTTACACCCTTTTACAGAAGGGTCAGCTATACTTTTCTCAGTTGTCTGTGAAAATTTTATTGTTTTAACTGCATAACTAATATTCTTGACTTGTAACAATTCCTGTTATGAAGATGCATCCAGCCTTTTTTTTTTTTTTTTTGAGATTTACTTATTTGACAGAGAGAGAGAGAGCACAAGTAGGCAGAGCAAAGGCAGAGGGAGAAGCAGACTCCCTGCTGAGCGGAGAGCCCAACGTGGGGCTCGATCGCAGGACCTTGGGATCATGACCTGAGCCAAAGGCAGATGCTTAACAGACTGAGCCACCCAGGCACCCCCCCATCCAACTTTTAATAAACCACCACCGTATTCTCCTTAAAACCCAACTGGCAAACTATTTAAAATTCAGAATGTGGGGTGTGCCTGAGGGGCTCAGTTGTTGGGCATCTGCCTTCGTCTCAGGTCATGATCCCAGGGTCCTGGGATCAAGCCCTGCATCAGGCTCCCTGCTCCGCCAGAAGCCTGCTTCTCCTCCCACTGTCCCTGCTTGTGTTCCCTCTCCCACTGTGTCTATCAAATAAATAAATAAAATCTTAAAAATAAAATAAATGGTGCCCTGAACAATACTTCATAGTGACTTACACCACACGTACACATCAACCATAAACAGCATGTCCACGTAGACTTTCTTCATAAACTATTTATTATAATGTCCTTAATTTTCCATGTTAAGGGAGGTATGACTGAATTCCCCATCATAAGAGAGCCGATCGGGTCTGTGAGACAGCAGCAATCAAATCATGTTACATGCACACAAACAATAAAGGTATAGCGCATCAGATGATTTCAGAGTAAAATTATTTGCCATGCAAAAAATCTCAAGTAAGGTGAAAAGAAAGAAAAAAAAAAAAGACACTGAAAATAATTATCCCTCTTCAGACATCCATCTCCCCCTTTCAGGCATATTAACAAAGGCAGCTGACCCTTGAAGAACATGGGTTTGAGCAGTGTGGGTCCCCTTATACAGATTTTTTTTCTTATATAAATACAGTGTGGTACTATAAGTGTGTTTCTCTTCATTACGAGTTCCTTAGTATTTTCTACTCTCAAGCTTGATTATAAAAATACCATATACATACAAAGAAGGGGATGATGGACTGTTAATGCTCTAGGTTAAGGCTTCTGGTCAACAACAGGCTATTTCCACGCAACACCAGGTATGGCTGTCAGTTTGCGAGACTGAAAAGACACACACAGATTTTCAACTACAGAGTGATTACACCCTAACACTTGCATCGTCCAAGGCTGAAACGTAACTGATCTGAGTGTTTTAACTTTGGATTTTTCTCTATAATAAATACTGTTTTGGGACGCCTGAGTGGCTCAGTCGTTAAGCGTCTGCCTTCGGCTCAGGTCATGGTCCCAGGGTCCTGGGATCGAGCCCCACATCGGGCTCCCTGCTCCGCGGGAAGCCTGCTTCTCCCTCTCCCACTCCCCCTGCTTGTGGCCCCTCTCTCGCTGTGTCTTTCTGTCAAATAAATAAATAAAATCTTAAAAAAAAAAAAAACAACTCTGATTTTGAATCATGTCTGAAAACTGGTATTGGCTTACTGCTTTCTGCTGCGAATTTTTTGGTGTTAGATTTGCCTTTCCATTATACAGTTTGCCAATTATAAAAGATAAAATCATTAAAGACATAACTTTTTTTCTGAAGTGTGTATTAAAACCAAAAGTCTTGCATCAATTTTACATTTCTAGGGTTTCTATACAGTATGCTTTGTCTGATATTCACGAAGGGTACAGTTCCAGGACTTCGCCACCATTCTGGACAATTGTAAGGTATCTCCACAGGATGTTATCATCTCAGGTTGAATAGTTTTGATTATGAATTAAATACCCTGCCTAATTCTTTACATTTAAGGGCTTCTGTCTACTATGCACATTCTGCTGTTCACAAAGTTGGTAGTTCTGCTAAACGCTTTGTCACATTTTACTTTACATTTGTCAGCCTTCTCCCCACTGTGTCTTACCTTAGCTTGGTAACTTTCAAGTGGTAGTTAAAGGCTTTGCCACATTTTATACACTTGTAAGGTTTCTTCCTATCATAGAATCTCTGCTGTTGAGGTTTTGAATATAAGTGAAAAGCTATGCCACAATGACTACATTTCTAAGTCCTTTCTCCAGTGAAGATAAAATGATGTACAATGAGATTTGAGCTTTTGTAAGTCTTTCCCACATTTATTACTTTGATACTGGTTCTCTGAAGACTAAGTTCTCTGAGGATTACTGGGATTTGACCCTTGGTTAACTTTTTTCCTAGATCCATTGCATTGGTAAATTCTGTCTCCATTATAAATACCTCTGTAACTATGAAAGATAGGGTCCTCGGTAAAGATCTTCCTAAGTTCACAACACATGAAAACTTGCTCCAAGTTAAGTATTATGTGATAACTATTGAACAGTAATGTTTCAATAAAGGCCGTCCTGTGTTTATCAAAATTAGAGACTTTGGAACAAGGAGGGATTATGTGTTGATGGGAGAACAATGAACCTTCTGAAAAAGGACTTCTCCAATCAATCACATTTAGAATTTGTATCTTCATGTTTAAATATCTAACTTTCAGAAATGTTTCCGTGAATGATTAATACAATCTTACATTTGAAATGCTTTGAAGAATTACTTTCAGCATGGACTAGGTGATTTTCCAAAACTTCAAAAGGTCCTTTCAGAATATATACTTTTTTTTTTTAATGGGTTTGGGCCGTTGGGATGAATGACATTGTTCTGCAAATGTAATTGACTTAAGGTGGGGTTTCCCCCCAAATGTTTTATATCCTTGATCTCTTCTAGCAGTAAGGATTTAATTACGGTTAATTGTCCCAGTCTGGTTATACACATCATAGCATCCTTCTTGCCCTTCACTAGCCCCACACCTTCCAGTCTTTCATTAAGTATAAATACTCAGGTCCACTGCTGCCAATCTTCCCATATCACTCTATGCAGCCAATCTTCTTTGCCGGTCTTTGCCAACAAGCTTGGGGTGTTAAAGAAAGACACAATGAACAGATGAAAAATAAGATATCCCACTTACTACATGCACATGCATACCAAATTAATACCCATTCTAGGACAGCAACAGAACGGAGAAATAGGAACCACCAGGACTTTGCTCCTCCATGGAGACAAAAATGGACCAAATTACCTTTTAGAATGTTCCAGAAGCCAGTTAGGAGAACACAGCATCTCTAGACAATACAAATGAACAAGAGGCACATCGAAGAGACAGCGAGCGTTTGTGACACTTTCTCACAACAGCTGTTCACCCTCTGACACTCCATGGCAACACTGTGAGTAAACTCTTACCTCTCCTCAAGAGAGAAACAGACAAGTGACCTGAATATTGAATGATCTGGCTTCTTTCACCTGCCTGACGTGGAAAACAGAGGGAACGAGAGCACCCTCTGGATGCAGTGTGCTGGCTGCTCAGACGAAAGGTGAGCACTTAACAATGAAGAGACTACAGAGCTGAAGACAGAGAGGAAGGTATCATGCGCTCTAAAGTAGTTCCACTTTCTTAAACTGGGAAATTACAAAAACGCAGACATGATAAATGCCCAGAACATGCGTGCCAGGCTTCTCAAATTCATTTCCATCCAACGAGAGCTACTCGAACCACAATTTAAGGTCTACCTTCCACCTTTACATTTAAACCTCACCCCTGTCATCTGCCTCATCCATTCCCACCTACCTGGATGGAAGGTCACTGTCTCCTTTCTCTTCACAACCCAGAACTGCTCCTCCTGCTCCAAAAAGATGATCAGGTCTGGCTTTGACGCAATGAGACCTGTTTATTAGATAAAAAGAAAAATGAATACTGCTGGGGATTTAACTTTCAATCATGACTGTGCTCAGTAGCGAAGACATTGCAGAATTCTAGAAAATAATTTCCCAAGTGTTGTTGCCAAATAGCCCCTTTAGAACATGAAGAACGGATTTCCAATATTCACATTCTGACCTCCACTTCCAAGTAGTAGACACAATAGTAAGGAGTGGAAATTTAAGCTTAGCTTAAGATGTGGGCAGTACCGGGGCGCCTGAGTGGCTCAGTCAGTTAAGGGTCTGCCTTCAGCTCAGGTCATGATCCCGGAGTCCCAGGATTCAGCCCTGCATCCAGCTCCCTGTTAAGTGGGGAGTATGCTTCTCCTCTGCCCCTCACCCCACTCATGCTCTCCCTCAAATAATTAAAATCTTAAAAAACAAAAAAACAAAAAAAATGTGGGCAGTACCATTTTATGCCACTCAGTGTTTAGAATTGCCCGTAATCTACAGAAGTGATGATGTTACCTTAAGGAAGGGGAAGCTAAAGCTGAAAAGGAAACATCATGAACATTTTTCTCTACATCTACAAACCCCTATTTCCCTTGCTGCCTAGATCTGAATTCATGTCATTCACGGAGGAATCTTCCAAGAGACAGTCTTCACAGGAAGGAAGAAAACACTTAGTGTGGTTTGGGAAATCTGGAAGGAGTCATCCTCACCCAGGAAGAGGAGGTGTCCGTAGTTCTCTAACATCACATCCCTGTACAGTTCCCGCTGAGTGTGGGTCAGGCATCCCCACTCCTCCTGGGAGAACTCTATGGCCACATCCCTGAATGTCAGCAGTGCCTGCAATAAATACCACAGTCACCAAGTAGCCATAGGCAGAGTTCACAATGGTCCCTAAGATGAAAGAGGGAGTTAATGTCATCAGTTAGACCCAAGACCTGACTTTCCCTGCTCTGTGACATGAGTGTGGAATAAAAGAAAGACCTGTGGGACAGAGAGCTGACTGACTGAGAACCTCCACTCCCAGAAGTCAAATATATCAACTACACCAAGGTGAGAACCCTCATTGTCCAATGGAAATTGATGGGATGTGGGGTAGGAGCCAATGGTCAAGAAAGAATTTTATTTTTTTTAAGATTTTATCCATTTATTTGACAGCGAGAGAGGGAACACAAGCAGGGGGAGTGGGAGAGGGAGAAGCAGGCTTCCCGCCGAGCAAGGAGCCCGATGCGGGGCTCGATCCCAGGACCCTGGGACTGTGACCTGAGCCGAAGGCAGATGCTTAATTAACAAGACTGAGCCACCCAGGCGCCCCAAGAAAGAATTCTTGAGATGTTCTCGATGTGAAATGGTGGGGTTCAGGATTGAATGATGAAGAAAGAATTACTGAGATGTCTTTGGCGCAAAAAAATGTGGTCTTCTTACTGAAGCACAGGCACAGGACCCATGAGTCAAAAGAGCTGCACTGGGGTTGTGAGCAGTAATTCATCCTATACTTACAAATGGTGAGTGGGTAAGCAATAGCAGCAATCTCTAAGAAATCTGAAAGCAAGGTTTCCAGGACGTTGAGGGCCTCACTGGTGTGATAAGGTCACCTAACTATGGTCGAGTAAAAAACCTTAGTTGTTAAGACCCTTCAGCTATGTATCAGTGGGTGCTATGCATAGAGGATGATGGTCAACATATATTTGTGGGGGGGTAGAGAGAGAAGATCCCAAGGGGATTTTCTTATGTTAAAGAGGACTTACAGAATCCCAGAGCTCTGGTTATTGTCAAGCTAAGGTGGCTTTTCCCCTCTAATAAAACATTAAGACAGTTGTGAATTCCATGAAGAATGTCATACTCTGTCTGTCTCAAGTATTTATCAATGGGCTGCAAGTTGAAGGAAATTTAATTTTATCCACACTTCTTTTGACTTTGTTCTCTTCCTCAGAAACTAGAAGCAAGGGTTCTAACTTGGTTAAGCATCTGCCTTCAGCTCAGGTCCTGTTTCTAGGGTCCTGGGATGGAGCCCCATATTGTACTCCCCACTCAGTGGGGAGCCTACCTCTCCCCATCCCCCTCCACCACCAATCATGTGCTCTCTCTAAAAATAAATCTTAAAAAAAAAAAAAAAAAACGACAAGCAAGAGTAGCTCAGAACAAAGAAGTTTCCAGGTGAACTGTGATGGTCGCTGCACACTGCTGAGTACATCCAAGTTCCTTACAAAGGACTAAGGGGAAATACGAACACTGCAGGGGAGGAATCTGGCAAAGAGCACCGAGACAATAAAAGCAGTTAGCATCAGTTGTATGGAAATAAACTGCTCTCAGTGCCTAAGGCACATCAAGGACACACCATCAGTGGTGTTTCCTTATCTGAAAACAGGAATTCAGAATATAAATCTAATTATGAAAATACAGTGGATATATATATACAGTTCAATCCCCTATAGTTTCTATAGAGGCTGCTTTTAGGCAAGCGGGCTCGAGCAAGGTAATGGAGAAAGAGCCCACAGTGACCCCTTGGCTGAACAGAGACAGGCCTGGACAGGGGACCCACCTCAAAATAGCCACAGGCCCTAATTAACCAATGGGCTACAGACAACCAGGTTCAGTGACCAGAAGAGGGAAAATTCCCTAAATCCCTGTAACTTCTCACCTTCCTGCTTTTGAAAGAGCCCCATCCCACCCACTTGCAGACAGCCGCTCCTCGGCTCTCCTGCCTGGCGCTCTCTCGCAGTATATTCAGGAAACTGCTAACAATGTGGTTCTGCCTCAGGTGAGTTCTTTTCAATTCCCACTTGACTTCCACCCAATCATGGACCTACATTTGGGGTCCCCATCTGACTGGCAGAGACACCACATTTAGACACCAGTTTCCATGTCCTGTAATAGCTAGTATATTTTATTTAAAGGTTTATTTATATTTTAGTGCAGGGGAGGGGAAGAGGGAGAGGGAGAGAATCTCAAGCTGACTCCCCTCTGAGCGTGGAGCCAAAGGAAGCGCTCCATTCTAGGACAGAGACCATGACCTGAGCTGAAATCAAGTCTTGAGGCTTCCTCAACCGAGCCCCCCAGCTCCCCCTCCAGTGTTATTTTAAGTAGACTATCTGTTTCACATTCTAAAGAGCAAGTCTCAAGCACGCCCACGCCCCGCTTTTCTTTCAGAGAACTTTTGGAGTTATTCTGGACCTCAAATCCATCGGGTTTCTTTATTTTCTTACCCCTGGTCTACGCAGAGCTGATAAAGTAACCACATGGGACCTAAATTAGAGATGTTTTCCTTCACTGATATCCCAGGAACAAACCTCATCAGCAAGAGGAATCTTCAGACTCCTTCCCCTGTGGATCTGTCACCAAGAAAATATTTTCAATACTTGGAGGACTTTAATTCAAAGTAACAACTGTTGATGCCCTATTGTAAGCCAGGCTGGAGACACAGGAGAGAAGGTTCTGGGATATAGAGAAGTGTTCTGAAGACCTCACCTTGAGTATCATTTCTGAAAAGATCTTAAAAATAGGTGAAAACATAAGGGTTGAAACATCAGAACTACAGGAATCAACATAGGCAATCTCTAAATGCAAGGAATTTCAGGAGAAAAACATGACATGGTCTCTCCTGGGACACCAGGCTTACCTGAGAACCGGCCATTTCTTCTTTCACCTCGTCCTCTAGATTTCTTTCTCACAAGGTATTTGTGGAGAAATCACAGCAGCATCAGGAGAAAATGCCCTCAAAGCCAGCAACAGAGCCTCTTCACCTGAAACTGATTCCCTGAAGGCGGGACCCTGAAATGCAGAAAAAGCCCAACTTCCTAGTCCTTTGTGTCACGAACTATTGAAAAACTCTCTGAGCTCCTACGGGGAGACTAATCCTTGACTTTTCCCTCCTTGCTTTCAGGGGGCCTCCCCTCCCACAGACGCCCACAAATCCAGCTACAGCCTAGAAACACTGTGCTGCATGGACCTGACCCTCCCAGACTCACGTGGCAGACAGAGACCCTGGTACCTCTCCTTGAGCCAGAGCCCGCTCTCACCTCAAGTCCTCAGGCTTAACCCTGGCCTCACTTAGAATCACCTGGAGCCCTTAATTAACACAACACTGTAGTTTTCAGTCAAACCAACTGACAGAAACTGAGGGGGAGGGCAGCAGATATGATCCTTTTTGAAACTCCACACGTGATCCTATTGGGAAGCATTTGGGGAGGTGACCAGGCCAAGCCCGGTGACCAAGGCTGTGGTTGTGAGCAGATTTAGATCCATGCCTTCTCCACTGATCAGTTTCTGGAGACTGATACATTCTCCCTCTTTCGGCTACACAGAAGGATACCCCCTTACAAATGAAGTTTTCCCTTATAAATGTAAATGTCTCTCACAAAGGGGAACATTCTGGGTTTCAGAACCTTTCCTTTATCTACCCTTTTTTAAAATACCAGCCTAGGGGCGCCTGGGTGGCTCAGTCATTAAGCGTCTGCCTTCGGCTCAGGTCATGGTCCCAGGGTCCTGGGATCGAGCCCCCCATCGGGCTCCCTGCTCAGCGGGAAGCCTGCTTCTCCCTCTCCCACTCCCCCTGCTTGTGTTCCCTCCCTTGCTGTGTCTCCGTCAAATAAAATCTTAAAAAAAAAATAGCAGCCTAGGGGCGCCTGGGTGGCTCAGATGGTTAAGCGTCTGCCTTCGGCTCAGGTCATGATTCCAGGGTCCTGGGATGGAGCCCCGCATCGGACTCCTGGCTCAGCAGGGAGTCTGCTTCTCCCTCTCCCACTGCTCATGCTCTCTGTATCTGTGTCTCAAATGAATAAATAAAATCTTTTTTTAAATTTTTTTAAAGATTTTATTTATTTATTTGAGAGAGAGATTGAGAGAGAGAGAGAGCACGAGAGGGGGGAGGGTCAGAGAGAGAAGCAGACTCCCCGCTGAGCAGGGAGCCCGATGCGGGACTCGATCCTGGGACTCCAGGGTCATGACCTGAGCCGAAGGCAGTCGCTTAACCAACTGAGCCACCCAGGCACCCTTTGAATAAATAAAATCTTAAAAAAAAGAAATACCAGCCTAATATAATCTTTAGGCCAGAGACCTATTTTAGGGTGACAAAATGCTCCCCTTCATTAGGTGAATGTTTGTTTTCATATGTAACTCCAAAACGGTTTTCCAAACTGAATGTACTTTTACCATACCATCAGCAATGTATGAGAATTCTAATTCCTCAACATTCTCCCTGAAATTTGGTGTTTTATCCTTTTTATTTTACCCATTCTAGAAAATACTGAGGGGTTTCTCACTGTAAAATATGAAGTGGTCTTCCTATAGTTGTCCTGGTGACTGAAACAGAAACCACTTAAAAGCATCAAGTTGAACAAAAATCCAAATGGCTGCATTAATGTTTCAGGTTATTCCTCTCCCCTCCAAAGCTCCCCTGCATCAACCCTTCCCTCTTCCTTCCTCGGGCGGGAAGGGAATCTTTGTTTCGAGAAACTCCTTCCACCCTGACAACGTGATGAACAGGGCTGGCAACACAGACACAGTTCCTGTGGAAACCGGCTAGATCCTGCATTTCCCTACAGAAGCCCAGCACCTTCCTCTGGGTGGGCTTGCGGTGTTGAAGACCCTGACTGCTGCAGCCTCCTTTGGTGACAAAGCAATAAAACTATTGTTCCTCTTTATCCCCAACTGTGTCTTCACGTTATATTTTGGGTCTAAAGCAGGGCGGTCAGTTCATACAACAGAAATGAATGTTAGGAGTGGAAAATTTGTTTTTCTTGCTCCATTCTCAATTCTTTGGCCACTCTAATAATTAAAACGATGTAAGACAGTCTGACAAGATAAAAACAGAATTTTAATTATGGGAAACTGAAAGACATGAGGCTCAAAGCCTGACTGAAGCTGAAGGTGTTCGAAGCTTGCACGCCACTGTGACAGAGGGAGTGCGATGTAGCATTTCAAAACGGGACATACATTCACAGGAAAGAGGAAATGTATGTCAAACGATGGCTTACCATTCCATGCAGGCAACTCTTTATGATCTAAAAAGTTAATTTCTGGTATCATCTCTCTTCCCAATAAATGATGTAGAAAAGACATCAGGGTTCAAAACTGACAGCCAAGAAGAGTTCTTGACCCGTCTTTGGTGCAAAAAGGTGGTTTCATTAAAGCACAGAGACAGGACCTGTGGGCAGAAAAGAGCTGCCCTGGGGCCATGAGGAGGGGCTCATGATATACTTTGGAGTTGGGAGGGGGTTAAGGATAGCTTAAGCCTCCCAGGTATTTTGGAAACAGGGTTTCCAGGACCTTGAGGGAGCTAGCTATTGTTAGGAAAGGTCATTTATTACTGTTTAGTAAAAACTCAGTCATGAGACCCTTCAGATGTATTATCGGTGGATCCTATGTTTGGAGGGACAGTACTTGGAATGGGGTCTATGTGGACACTGCCACCCACCAGTGGGCCCATAGGGGGCTGGCAGAGAGAAAGGGTTGATTGCCAACATGTATTTTGCCAGGTAGAGATAAAGGAAGTTTCCAAAGGAGTTTTTGTATGTTAAAGGAGATGTTTACAGGATCCTGGGGCTGGGCTAAGATTGCCTTTTGCCCTTGGCAAAGTATTAAGTTGGAGGCAGCTGAGTCCCTGGAGGAAGGTCACTCTTCCAGTTTCAAGGACTTGTCAATGGGCTGTAGATAGTAAGGAAATACAATGATTTTTCTTCTGCCTTTGTTTCCCACATCATTCCCACCACGCCCCCCCCCAACAGTTTTGACCCTTAAATCTTTAAGTTTGCTGAGAGTGCAAGTTCTCATCTTTTTTAACTTCTTCCTGCTGAATAGGTACATAGAGATGTCCCTACCTATGGGTCAACGTTGGTCAGTTGGGGCTTATATAGATATGTTATGAAAGCAGAGGCAGCTGAATCCAAGGGAGACTGCATGTGTGGATATCCCGAGTGGAAAGGGCCATCTGTGGGCTTCAAGTTATGACAGTTAAGGAGTCTTGGCACCAAGTGGGGAGACACGGGAGAAAACAGCCAAAACATGACTAGAATAACAAAACAAAAAGCCCAAATAAGAGTCCTTTGAGAGTTGACAAAAGTCTTCTGAGTCCAGGAGTTTACCTAAGCATTAAAGGAAAGAGGGGGATTGTTTAAAGCACCAATTTGAGTGTCCATGTCTGTTAGAAACCCAGAAATACTTTTGTGGTCATCTGGGCCACATACACAGCATTTTGTTTTGGTGATTTGTGCAGCAATTACAACATCTTACGCCTTTCTATTTTGTAAAATTGCTTTATACATTTGTGTTACTTTAGTATTTAGTAGAGAAATGCTATTTGAGTGTCATTCAGGGCTTTGGTTGTGTACTTATTAAGAGCTTTCATGTGTCGGGGCGCCTGGGTGGCTCAGTCGGTTAAGCCACTGCCTTCAGCTCAGGTCATGATCCCGGGGTCCTGGGATTGAGCCCCGCATCAGGCTCCCTGTTCGGCAGGGAGCCTGCTTCTCCCTCTGACCCTCCCCCCTCTCATGCTCTCTCTCTCAAAGAAAGAAAAAAACAAAAAAAAAAGAAAAAAAAAGAAAGAAAAGAAAGAAAGAAAGAAAGAAAGAAAGAAAGAAAGCAAGCAAGCTTTCATGTGTCAAACAACAGCCTCCAGTCCCAAAGAGGGAAAAAAAAATTAGGGGCCATACCTATGAGGCAAAGAACATGTTCACCATTGTTTTAAATTCATAAGCTTAGGAGTGCCCGTGTGGCTCAGTTGTTAAGCATTTGCCTTCAGCCTGGGTTATGACCTCAGGGTCCTGAGATGGAGCCCCACATCAGGCTCCCTCTCCTGCTCCCCTTGCTTGTGCTGTCAGATAATTTAATTAATTAAAGAAACAAAAATATATTTAGAAGGTTGGCTGGGTTGGTAATGGTTTTAATAATGCTCTGTGCATCCAGGCAAAACCCAGAGTACAGTGGCCTATCCAGCCTGAGGGAAGCCATGGACACAAATTAGAGCCACATGGTCACTGGGTACCATTGGAAGACAGTCATCTAATTCTGGACCTCCTTTAACTGCAGTCAAGATATCAAGGGCGGGGCGCCTGGGTGGCTCAGTCAGTTAAGCGTCTGCCTTCAGCTTGGGTCATGATACGAATCCTGGGATCAAGCCCCACATCGGGCTCCCTGCTCCGCGGGAAGCCTGCTTCTCCCTCTCCTACTCTCCCTGCCTGTGTTCCCTCTCTCGCTGTGTCTCTCTCTCTCTGTCAAATAAATAAATAAATAAAATTTTAAAAAGTTATCAAGGGCTGTTCAGTTTTGGAGGGCCATCTTTTGGATTTGTGTAGTAAAAGACAGTCTGTTGTCACTTTGTAGGGACCAAGGGAGTCGAAATCTAGGGACAATTTTTCTTAGCAAAGTGTTTGTTTGTTTGTTTGTTTGTTGTCACTTCTGTGGCCTTTCTACACAAATCAGTAGCCTGGTGTAAACCCCGTATTACCTTCCATTGGTTATTTTTGGGTATAACGGTCTTTTCCTTCATGATCAACAAGCCGGTCCTGTTCATTTTTTAATATCCTTGTTCCTGGGCTATGTGAATTTCTTGGTCTGAATAGACTGGACTTATGGACTTTACTGGAGAAAAGACTTGATGATATTTGTTTATTTTCTGCTGTCTTCTTGGCTACATGTTCTACCAAA